GAAAAATATTACAGGCAATGGAGTAAACTCTTACTTCAGGTTTTAGCTGATTTTTTTTTAGTAATGACTGAGTTATTTTTATTGTTTTAGATGTAGTAGTAACTACTTTTATGTTGAGTTTAGATAGATTATCGATTATAGATGTGATAGAATTAGTAGTCAGGATATATATATATATATATATATATATATATATATATATATATATATAGGAAATTGTATGACAAAGTGGAAAAAGTTTATTTGTGATGTGTTTCATCCTTCAGGACTTCATCAGAATAAATTTATGTTGGTAGAACTACACATGTAAGACAGGGGTGCTGGGAATTTTTTTCATCAGCTGAATCCATTTAGAGTATTTTCTTTTTCTTTCCATCACTTTTTTAAGTAGGTATTCCACACTGTGATATTAGAAGATCTGCCAGGAATGGTGAAATGTTTTAAGAGCCAAGACACAAATTTACTTTGGATGATGTTTTATGCCAAAGTTATTGTCAGTCTCATTACAGAGGGAAACCAACATATTTGATGTATTATTTTGTAAAATGTCCCTTTTGTGTTCATATAATCTTTTAGATTCCTTGAGGTTTCTCCAATGTATTTTTTGTGACAATTATTACAGGCTTTTAGCTTATTGTTTTCTTTAGTATTGATTAAGTCTGTTATTGTTTTGGATGTAGTAGTAACAAATTTTATGTTCAGTTTAGATAGATTCTTTTTGATTGTAGATGTCTTAGAATTAGTAGACAGGATATATTTTTTTTGATTCATTGGGTTTCTCAAGAGGGGCCAATTTTTTGTTTTGGAATATTTTATGGACCTTTGTTTTGCATTGAATATAAAATAATTAGGGTACTGTAGAATTTTAAAAGGATTTTCAATGTATTTCTCCTCTTTGTGTAAATAATCTGAGTTGCATATTCTTAGAGTTCTTTTAGCAGAATCTAATGATTATACCAGATTTGATTTTATTGTTATGATTAGAATAGAAATTTATTAGGTTGTTTTTGTTGGTTGATTTCCAGTGGACATCGGGTTTTAAACTGTTGTTAATGCAATGTAGCTTGATATCTAGAAAGTGTAAGGAATTGTATTCTTCTATTTCGTATATAAATTCCATTTTACATTTGACTTTGTTTAGTTGATCTACAAGGTCAAGTAAATCAGTATCAAAAGGCTATATAAGTAGAGCATTATCAATATAACGGAAATATGTTGATTGTTTGGGTAAAATATTTGGGAAAAGACCAGATTCAAAAAATTCTAAGAAGATACATGCCATCACTCCCTGAGAGCCAATTACATTGGTAATCCAAATTTTTGTTTGTAACAATCATTATTAAATGTAAAATATTATTGATTGGGGATGAGACAGCAGATTTGTATTATTTTAGCTGTTGGTAGAGAGCTTTATTTTTGATTGGGTTAGATGCTTTTTTATGAGATTTAAGGCTATTTTTCAACTAGGACGTTGGTGTAGAGGAATTTTATATCTAGACTGGCCATGCGTTGGTCGGTCAGGTTTATTTTTCATAGTTTTTCAACTAAGCTGAGTTCTTTATATGAGATTGTTCCAAGGAGAGGGGTAAGAATTACTGCCATGTCTTTCTTCAGTTTATGGTGGCGTGCTCTCTATAAATAGTGAAACAAGGTATAGGGGGAATAACAGAAAGATCAAATTTATTAAGAATTGCAAAGGGCAGGAAATTGTGGAGAGCCATAATCGCCTATATCCTGAAGGCACATGACAGATAAAAGAAGAAGAATGAGCTTGAGTAAATGGATGATGGGGCATGGTTTAAGGGAATAAGAGAAAGACGAAATTTATTAAGAATTACAAAGGAGAGGAAAATGTGGCGAGCCATGATCGCCTATATCCTGAAGGGACATGACACATAGAAGAAGGAGAATGAGATTTTGCAAATAGATGGCGGAATCAGGTTTAGGAGAGATGACAAAATGATATTTATTTAGAACTACAAAGGACGAGAAATTGTGGAGAGCCATGATCGCCTACATCCTGATGGGACACGGTATAGAGAAGGAGATTTATTAAACTTTTGCCATTTCATTCGCTGATGAGAAACCTGTCTAAAATAATATTTGTTCGCGAAGATTTCATTAAGATAGAAAGTGTGTATGAGCGTTCGGCTTTAGGGAAGGCGGTGTATAAACATTTTGGTAAGGAATACGGTAAAGATCTTCTAGTTCCATGATATCTTGTATTCTTCGTTTATTTCTTCAATTTCAGTTGTCGATTTCTGTGTTAGGAATATTGTTCTTATCAGCTGTCGTAAATTTGTACCTCCGTTAATCTAAAGATCCTGGCAGCTTTCTTGTTTGAATGTTTCTTTTTTTGTTGACATGGGCAATCCAGTTATACAGTAGCTTTGACAGGCAAACAAACAAATGTGTTAGCCTTCGTGTATTCTAAGAAGTTAATAATACCACATCCATATATGTGTACATTAACATATACGCATAGACTAACACAAGCATGTATACGTACGCACACACACACATACATATATATATGTATGCATATATAAATGTATATATATATATATATGTACATATATATATATATAAATATATATATAACCGACTCTCCCGTCGAATTCGACGTATGAGGGTCAAGCAGATCAGTTTCCAGGAAACCGACAGCCCGACACCGGCACATAAGATTTGATTATAGTGTTGAAGGTTTCGTGCAGGACCATCCACACTTTTTGAAGGGACGAATACAGAGACCTGGTGCACTACGTGCCACAAGGTCTCTAAACGACCTGCCGCAGGTTTTGAATTCAGAGTTGTCCTTCTCCTAGACCAGTTGCCATCCAAAGCTATAGAACCCAGTCTGTTCTACTATTTTACCCATAGCTGGAGGGAGAAGAAGAGGATTCATACCTTTCCCAAGGGTATTAGCACGTAAGTGAATGTAATGGATTCGATTTGAATTCGAACTCAGTTCTGCGATTCCTCAATCCAAGCCGCTATCCATTACTCCACCGTACCTCCTGTCCAACATCACTTTATTTCTTAAATAGCATATTACCCGTCAAATAATTATTTAGTTATAGATAAGCAATTATTCAGAACGCTCCGCTTACGTTCAAAGCGTCAATCTACCTCTTTTTCTCCCATCAAAACATACTATATGTTTATATATATATATATATATATATATATATATATATATGTGTGTGTGTGTGTGTGTGTGTGTGTGTGTGTGTGTGTGTGTGTGTGTAACCTAGGGAAGGTTACTGAATAATCACACAAAGGTTGGTAATGAACGATAATACTTAGCACAAGAACAACACATATAAGATTCACAAGTGCCGCGGAGAAGAAGTAGTCAAATGCTAGAAGTGAGTTAAGTGAATTCCACACAATCTCCAAGGCCGAATTTAATGTGCGGTATACAAGCCAGTATATATATATATATATATATATATATATATATATATATATATATATATATATATATTGTAATCAACACCATCATTTGATAAGACACTAGTAGTGTTGAAACAAAAATACAATTTATGTAGTGACGTTATAATTTTGAATAAATATTGAGCACTCTTTTAAGAATAGTGTTTTTTGGTTATCAGAATTTTATTCCATCTGTATCAATATATATGTATACACACACACACACACACACATATATATATATATATGTGTGTGTGTGTGTGTATGGGCGGCTCGAAGCTGGTAGCGAAATCTGGTGCCCATATCAATTTTAAATAAAACCTCATAAAACCGCTTTCTTCTTATATTCATTTCTTCTCATATTCATTTCTTAATAAATAAATTACAAGTATAATTGGGGAGTTATTTTTCAATCACTATATATATATATATATATATATATACGTTAAATCCTATGAAAGAATAGCCCTAGGAGTAAAACTTTGTTTGGCTCTGTCTAGACAATCTAAACTTCGAGCAATTGATTTCTCTAGGTAGGTACGTTTGCCTCAAGCCCATTTTTTCATCATTGTCGTTTTTGTTCGAGACTTTATCTGGATAAGAGTTTTAGGCCATGGCCAATCGTAATCATCGTCTACTCAAATACGAGTATCCACTAAAAATAATGTTTGCGTAATTCGCTATTATTTACCTTTTTTCCTATTTTCCATTGAAACATGACCCAGTGCACATGTTAGTGCTTCGTATGTCCATTACATCAATCGTTAGGTACAAAATATAAACACGTTTAATGGTAGCTTGTTTTCCACCTTTTAGTGCCTTTGTGCATATACCATCCATAACAGGGTACTATATCCACTAAGAAGTATTTTTACAGACACTCCTCCCTCCCTAAGTGTCCAAGCGGACAGCACTTCTTTAACAGATCTTTCAGGAATTCCATTAGGAAACCCCGTATCCACTGTAGAAGTACAATTCAACAGCTCAACAAAATGTCGCGCCATCTTTTCAAGATATCAGCAAGATTACGAATAAGAGTTTTCCCATCTTTTGTGCAAAGATGGTTCACTGAAGAGGACAGTGGGCTATAAACAACGTGCAAAAGGTTGTACAAGAACTTTGAATTATTGAATGTCTCATGCAGACAGAATTTGTTCTCGTTTTTCATACCAGCGTTTATCGTGATTGTAAGAAATTCTCGGTTTAACCTTGTTCTTCGCATCCTTGATCTCATCAATCAACTTCCGTCTTTCGTCGTGTGACAGATTGCCTCTAAACAAGCACGTATCTCAAGCAAAATATCTTCAATCTCTGCATTATTGTCAGCGAACAAACCTTTGTATTTACTCCCCACGACTCCAAAACCACATTGTTTATGTCATAGACATATTCTTGATTTCCTTGTTTCGACATTCAACCCTGTTCCAAGTGGCCATCAAGCTCCTAACACACCTGTGCTTCTCTCAAAAGGTAGACGTTCGCTTTTCTGGGACTGAACATATTTCCAGATCTCACTTTTATGCATGTGTGTGTGTGTGGGGGGATATACGTGCTGGGAATCGAAAATGACTCTCTCTCTCTCTCTCTCTCTCTCTCTCTCTCTCTCTCTGTGTCTCTCTCTCTCTCTCTGTCTATCTATCTATCCTTTACTTCTGACTGAGGTCAAGCTATCTCTTCTTCCTCTATCGCTCTCCATCCTCTCAAGACTGTGGGATACTCGATAGCATATCTGACAGCATAGACAAGGCCCTCTCACTCCATCCGTTTGCTCACATATTCGTGTTTGGTGACTTTAACGCCTATCATACCAATTGGCTCGAGAATGCTACTACTGACCGGGCTGGCATTCAAACACTTAACTTCTCAATTTTTCAATCCCTCACGCAGATAGTTACCTTCCCCACTCGTTTTGCCCTCAACCTGGAAGGTAAGGCTTCTCTTCTCGATCTGTGTTTTACCTTCATCCACGCAGCTCTGCCCTCTTGGTAACTCCGATCATGCTGTAGTATCTGTTAACATTTTCTTCAACTCCCCCCCCCGCCGCAAAGAACCTCCTATCACTAGAACCTCGTTCTACTATCAACGAGTGGATTGGAACTCGTTCCGTGACTTCCTCCGCGATGTCCCCTGGGATGTCTTTACACTCCCTGTCCAAGAATGTGCTTCTGAGGTCTCATCCTGGGTTAAAGCTGGAATCGACGCTTTCATCCCCCCCAAGGAAATTTATGGTCAAGTCGCACTCCTCCCCTTGGTTCTCCGCTGCTTGCTCAGCCGCCATTGTCCATAGGAACCACTTCTTTCACCTATTTCGTAGCGACATGTCGGACTGCAATAGACGTCTCTTTGCCTCCGCCCGTAACGAGTGTAAGCGTGTCCTCACCGAAGCTAAGTCAATATGAAAGAGCGTATAGCATCTCGCAAATTTGGCTCCAAAGTTTATTGGCGGCTCTGCAAGAGCGTCCTGAACAATAGAAAACCCTCCATACTTCCTTTGTTCAACCAGTTCGAGATCCTGACCTCCTCTACCGACAAGGCTGAATGCTTTGATCGGAAATTCTCATTTAATTCAACGCTCGACTCTTCCGGTATACCCATACTAGACTTCCCTCTAAGAACTGAGGCCTTATTGAGCGGGTTACACATAACCCTGTCATTGATATTGGGCATTATCTCCAATTTAGACCCCCACAAAGTTAGTGGTGGAGATGGCATACCAGCCATTGTCTTGAAGAAATGCGCGCCTGAGCTAACGCCCGCTCTCTCTAAACTATATAACTACTGCCTCAAGGAATCCTGTTTTCCTGACTTTGGAAGTCCTCATCCATTGTTCCTGTCTTTAAAAACTCTGGAGACCCCTCTGACCCCTCTAATTACCGTCCTATTAGTCCCCTACCCCTCTTCGACAAATTCTTCGAAGCCCTAATCAACGCCGAAGTGGTTAACCACCTTACCTCACAGGACCTGCTCTCAGACAAGCAATATGGTTTCCGCTACGCCCGATCTACAGCTGATGTGCTTACGGCCATCACTGAAACCGTCTACCAAGCCCTTCAAAATAACGGTGTGGCTCGTGCCGTGGCCCTAGACATCTCCAAAGCGTTTGATAAGGTTTGGCATGCCGGCCTTCTTCGCAAGCTCCAGGGTTATGGTATGACAGGTCGATTGTTTGACCTAATACAATCATTCCTGTCAAACCGTGAATTGAAGGTCGTTCTCAACGGATTCTCCTCCAGTTCCTATCCCACGAACGCAGGTGTTCCCCCAAGGCTCCATCCTTGGCCCCACTCTATTCCTTATTTTCATCAACGACCTTCCTGACGCCATAGATTCCCAAGTTGGCATCTACGCGGACGACGCTACAATTTACTCCTGCCTCAAAAACAAATCTAGTGTCGGTCACAAAACTAACCTGGCCGCTCGTCTTGAAATGGAGCTCCAATCGGTTGTTAATTGGGGCAAGAATTGGCTGGTCAATTTTGACGCCTCAAAAACTAAACTACCCTCTATTAATCACCATAGAGATCCTTCCCAGCCCCCCCCCATTAGAATGTCTGATAGTCAACTTCTCGAGAGCATCTCTCTGCGTCTGCCCGGTCTCACGTTGACTGCTGACCTAAGATAGAACAAATACATTGAGTCAATTGCTTCACCACCGCGAGGAAAGTTGGCTCTCTGTGCCGCGCCAGGAAATTTTTCTCCCCAGAATCGATACTTCAAATATACAAATCAACCATTCGCCCTTGCATAGAGTATTGCTGCCATATATGGTCTGGTGCACCTTCTGTTTACCTCGGAGTTCTTGACAAGATCCAGAGACGGATATGTAAAATAATTGGCCCTGTTCTGGCATCTCGTCTACAGTTGCTCTCTCACAGACGCGTCGTCGCCTCTCTCTGTCTTTTTTACAAATACTTTCATGGTAATTGCTCCGATGAACTGCTTTCACTGGTTCCCAGACTTCATGAATTCAAGCGCCCTATGAGGCTGGCATCCCGCTCTCACCCTTTCACTGTAGAAACTTTTAAATGTATCCGTCTCGTCTACTCCAATAGCTTCCTACCTTGC